CTCTCTCTCTCTCTCTCTCTCTCTCTCTCTCTCTCTCTCTCTCTCTCTCTCTCTCTCTCTCTCTCTCTCTCTCTCTCTCTCTCTCTCTCTCCCCATTATTCTGATGCTTGTTCTCTCCCCGTGCTCTTCTTCTCGTTCTCAGCCTTTTCTCACTTCTGCTCGTTTTATTTTGTGCAGTTAAGCTTACCTTGTCTCATGAGAAACTCACTGTTTCTTTTATAATGAGTCTCCCTGTCTCTTTCTGAGTCCCATTCTTACTCTTGTTCTCTCTGCTGGTTCGTTTGAACCCCCCCCCCCCTTTCCCGCCCTCCTTTTCCTCTCCTGCTCTCCGTCCTCTCTCGACGTTTTCTCTGCCTTATCTTGTGTCATGCTGCTTGCCAGGGTTGTACCCCCTGACGGTCGGCGGCACTTGATGGTCGGCTGGCGACCCGCCGACTGGTAGGCTGGTCGGCGCCTACCGGTCGGGGGTCGTCGGCACCCCGCAAAAAAAAAAAAAAAAAAAAAAACACAACAAGAAAGCAGTCCAGACCCCTAATAACACCAACAACACCCCCCCAACACCCCCAAACCTATTGGATACTCGGCGGAGGTTTCAGCATATAGCCAGATTTGCCTCTAACATTACTGCGATTGAAAATTATGCAATTATTCATCGACGTGCAAGAAATCAGCGTGTGAGAACACGAAAATTGAGAACATCAGGAACTCGCTGAAGACCATGTATGAGCAGACTAAACTGAAAGCAGAATTGGCAAGGCCAAGAGCACATCAATGCAAGAGCACAGTGGACTCTGAAGCCCCTTGAATTTGAAAGGCCTCTTCACTCTTCCACACAAGCAATATACAACAGTAGTAGCCCTGAACTATGTTCTGACAGCTTACACTACTTCCCTAGCCTAGCTTATCACACTGGCCTACTAGCTATCATTCTTCTCCATTCTCCATTTGCCAGATGCAGCTGAAGAGTTTTGCGAGGCACAAGGCCTTGATAAGCCCTACCGGGCCCTTATTTGCAACAGGTCGGTCCCCCTAAGTGAAGGAAGGCTCGACAGACGACAAGAGGCCTATTTTGGACTACTTCGCAACTGGGGTAAAATTCAGGAAGTTGCGCAGCGCCAGTTGGTTGGAGGCGCCCAGGCCCTGGCCTCCTTTATCAAATGTATCTCAGTCAGGCCCTGGGTGAGATATGCAGCATGGACCAAACTCAGACTATGGGCAGTTGGGCACTGGTAACTGTTGGTGGCCTGGGTCTGATTCGTTTGGACTGAGGCTCAGCCTCCCTGGGCCTACCGAAAGCTTCTGGGCTGGGGCCTAGTACCGCAGCACAGCACACAGCAGCAGGCCACTTCGATATAGGGAAGGGCCTGCCCACGCATTGAACATTCAGGCACTGGCTGCATGCTGCGCAAGCGCTGCTGCGCTAACGCTGGCCAGGCTCACGCGCTCACGGGCGAGATGGAAGGAGCAGGCAGCTATAGCCGAGCTGCGCTGCTGTAAGCTGGATGGGGCGTATGGTGGTCCTTGGGTGCAAGTGGCATCTGTGAGTTGGGGAACGAGGTTGTGAGCGATACGAGAGACATACCTGGTGTTTGAGGCGTGCGGCATTGGCCGAGATCTGCTCGTACTTGGGAAGCTGTTGACGTCATCAGCGGCATTGTAGTCTAGGCTAGATAGGATCTGCCATTCGTAGTCTGGGCGCCGAGCGCCAGATAGGATATCAACATTGGTTCTTAGTTGATGATGATGAGACTATTCCAGCATTGTCAATTATGAGCTTTTGGTGTACTCTTATTTGGTGAAACTCGTGATGCAATTCTGCTATTGGTTCAAGGTCTCGACTATCTGGTCTTATGTGTATGATGCTGTTTGATTTCTGAAGTTCGCTATTGCTCATCTTCCTTGCAGTTCGATCACATAGGCGCTTTCCTGCTTTTTCCACAGCCTTCCCCCTCCTCTCCCAAGGACCTCCTTTTCTTGTGTGAAAATTTCAAAAACTAAAAAAAAATATTGGACCATTTCATGTCATCCATGCGCAGGGGCCATGCTAATCTTCTGGGTACCGTTCTAATTTTAACTTATATTCCCCAGTGCATGGAAAATGAGCGAGAGCGATAGACAGAAAACCAAATTGCAACGTCACATTGAAGACCACACAGTCGTGTCCCAAGCAGAAAGCACAATGCGCTGAGATACTAGCCAAATAAGAGCAATACAATGAACTCAAATGTCAATGTTGGCGGTGCACCAGGAAACAGAGAAGAGGTCCTGAGACAACCCTTGTTCCGCAATCCCTGGATCGTAAACCAGAGTGGCTCACCCTGGACACTAGGCGCAAAAGACAGGAGATGGCGATCCTGGGTGGAAAAAGGGGTGTGGCAGGTGAAACACATTTGGGCTGAAGATCGAAGACAATGGTCAACCGAACCGAAAGGAATTATAAAGGCTGCCACGGCCTCACAGAAAATTTAACACAGATTCAGAAGAGCATCCCAACACAGTGGCTATATCCCCAAGAGAGGACTTCTCGTGGAAATCCGGGTACTGGGGCATACTCATCTCCCAGACCCAGCCTTGCAGAGCATACCGATTCGTCTCTCGAACCAATGCACTCACTACCCGATTGCTAATCACAACCTACAAGAGTTGGAAATTATGAACAAAGAACCCTAATGCGAGATGCAAGAATCATTTCGACTGAGGAAAGTGAGGGTCCCAAAAGCCAAACCCTGGGTAATCTTCCAACCTGATCTCAGCATTTCAGACCTCGAATTTGACCCGAAAGAGTGGAGCTGGAAACAAGGAAAATCTGGGAGAACGAGAACGAGAACGATATTTGAATACGGTGTGAAATTCGGATATGACTTAGGATTACAGACCGCAGACCTGGATCCCAGACTCAAAGAAAAATGGAGGGAGATCCTGAACCTAGAACCGACGGACCCCATCTCCATCCCCTGGACATGCCTCTCCTCACTCACACCTCACCTCCCTTACTCCCCACCTCGTGTGTGCCCCTTTGCCCAAGCACCACCATTGCCAACAACAGCCACCGCTGCGCCAGCCCGGCTATGGGTGCTCAGCGCCCACAGCCCTAGCTGCCCCCCCTCGCCTCTTAGCGCCCGTGTGCGCCAAGGCGCTCGTCCTCCAGCGACTTGCCACTGCAAACTGGCAGCGTGACCGCGAGGTTGAGCCAGCCAGAATGAGCCCCTACGTGAGCTCTCACTTCCCTATGTGGAAAGTGAGTTCGGCCTCCCTGCGCCCTGGGCCTGGCCGCCGTGTTTCCAGTAGCTTCCAGTTGGCCCCTGTATCTCCGGCCAAGTCTCATGTAGACAGTGGCCTGGGCCCGCAGCAAATAAGCAGCCCAACTGTGCGACGTGGCCAGTGTCGCTCACTGCATTGCCATTGGCCGAAAGGCTCCTGGCCATGTCGCAGACTGGATGAGCTCAGAGGCTCAGCATTTCGCGATCCCACAGGGCGTGGGCCTTATAACCAACTGGCGTGTGGCAACTGTCTGGCAGCCCAACCTGCAGAAATTACAAAAATAAGGCCTCATGTCGAAATGCAAGCCCGCCTTCACTTAGGGCGGGCACGGGGCTTGCTGGGGGGCCTTGTGTCTGTTCAGGTGCCTGAAAGGCACTGCGAGGGCTCAATCCTCACACTCCCTCCTCCTTAGCTTCGAGAGTCCGCTGAGATGCTTCTACGCAGGTGCTTTCCCCTTCAGCTTCCGTTCATAATCAGCAACGACCTGAGGTGCTGTCTTGATCAGTTCCTCCTTTGTGAACCAACGGTCTTCTTTTGGATCCGTGTGATGCCTGAATCTGACCCGGTACTCTCTTGCAGGTTTCATCGTGCCTAGTTGGGCAATGTATGTATAACCAAGGATCCGCAATGCTTGGTTGCATCCCTGCCGACCGCCAAGCCCGACCGCTGACCGTATTGCAGCCGACCAGTAGGGCTGACTGGTCGGCGGTCTGCCGACCAGTCAGAAAACAACCATCCACTAATTTTTTTTAAGATCTGAGTTGGAAGCTGTACTGCGCTTGCTGAGTACAGCCCAAATCCGCTGAGAAACTTTTGGGGATGGGGGGGTTGGGGGTGGGGTGTATAGGGG